GGTCTATACTCCAGGAAGGTGTCGGAGACTGTTACAAGGTAAGATGTATTGGCGTGTGCTTGTCCACGAAATATCTTTAGTTTTGCGTAAAGCGATTGTTTTTGTTTGCTGTTCTGGGTATGATCTTGACTTTCTTTCATTTAGGTGTCTCAATCCGAATCCAGAAGAAAGACCAGATATTGTTGAGGTAAGATGCTGTGCAGAATCTTTACAGTGTCAAACATTGCACTTAAGAGGATCAAAATAGTCTTTTTCATTCTGGAATGAGGCAAATATGTCTGAGACCTATTCTTTAGCTCTCTTTACAGTGGCAAGAAGTTTAAATGTTTAAAACAGCAAATATATAATTGAACTGACATATGTGAAATGAATCATACCGGTATTTTAAACTGCAGATAAAGATACGGAAGTAAACATGATCCTCGCAATTAAATGAACAACCTAGGTGGCTGAAAAATAACTTTAAAAAAAACTCAGCCTGAAATTTTGCAGGTTCTTTTTGTTAAACATTATTTTTTAACTTACGGAAAAAAGTTATCCGTTATCCTCCATACAGACCAAAGTATTGATCTTGTTCTGAGAACCTGGCCGGAATTTTCTCAGCCAATCTCAATGGTCAGAACACGTAGAAGCGAACTAATTGAAAACGGCCAGTTCAAAAGTTATTTATTAGTAAATTTATTTGTTTATTTACCTTTCATTAGGTTGCTGCTAACATCAGTGAGATCATGCTGGTTTATGTGGACAAGCTGCGATCAAATGAGATCAGTTTGGAAAAGAAATTGGAGAGAGAAAGGAAAAGAACTCAAAGGTTGGCATTAGTTCTTTCATAGAATTGTTATTGGTTTGTTATTTTAACTCTTGTAAGTGATGGTTTAAAGTTGACATTGTGCGAATGCAGTGTTTATCGATATACTGTAAAATAATTTATTGAATCCGATTGGCTGAGAGCAATAACACAGTGCAAAAAACGAAGAAAAATGCGGTAATGCAAATATCTCTGAGAATGGAGCACTGTGACTGGCCAATAAACAATTCCAATTAACAAGAAGAACCAATCAGGTGCCGCAACTCAAGCGAGATTTTCACATGGTATGAGCGGGCAGTTTCTAGTGTCTCGTGGGTGGCCGTTATAAACAGGTTCCACAAGTTTAATTTTGACTGGTAAATTTTTCATTTGATTATTGAGGGGTAATCATACGACTTTTGTTGTTCCATTGGAATGTAGTTGCGCTTTTGTGTTTTTCAACAAGCCTAAATTGCACGAGCCCAAAATTTTGATAAGTTTTGAAAAACACACTCGTGTAAATTAATCCCTAATTGAACTTGAAGTAGTACGATTACCTATATGCTTATTGGACACTCCCTAGACCAGCTAAAGGTGTTGCAGGTAATCATGGGAATTCGCTTTGGTGGGCCAAAGATAGGCGGAGATAGGCCTAGTCGAATGATGGTGTTCTCTATCAACCAAAAAAGAAAAAAGGTTTCGTTCGCGGAAAGTTAATCGATAAATGTTCTTTCGGTTGCCTCCTTGTAACGCTATATTAACTCTAGCAATGAGAAAAGAACTTGACCACGTGAGTTCACCTTTTTGGTTTGACAAACAAAGCCATGTGACCTAAATCGTAAACTTCTGATGCCAAAATCAACTGTGACGCGTATCTTTGAATTCGCGGTCTACCTGTTTTGGTGGTACTCTCACTAAACAACAGTTCGCTCTGTAATAGCTGACCGTTTCAGTAACAAGGCTGTGATCAAATTTTGAGTTGTAGCACTCACCCTCTTTTTTTCATTTCAGACATTATATCGAGGCAACTCGCAACATGCAAAACTATCACCGTCTTTTCTATGCTTCACAAGAACGCTACGACAAACTGGTGAACTTGTCAAGTAGTGGAGGTGCCGCTGGCTTTAGGACCGTGGACGCCACAGAAGGCAGTGATACTGTGTTTGAAGCTGCAAACGCTTTAGCTGAACTGAACTCAAGCAAAAACGGCGTTCACAAGAATGGAGAGACGGAATATACGCCTCAGGTGGATTCTGGGATTGATGTTGGGGATATTCTTGCAAATGGGAACCTGGGTTCTAGTGCCGTAACCGGAGAACAAAATGGCGGCACAAAACCAGGCGGTAGCTCGTCGCCAGGCTCTACGAGGCGACAGAGAACGTTAAAGCCTGTTGTTGATAAGTCTGGTAAAGGAACAGGTGAAAAATTTACGAGTAACAGTAAGGAAAGAGATAAGTCTTCGCAGAGCGTTAAAGGCGCAGATAAAGCGTCAAATGGTAGAACTATTGTCGATAAAACGAGCGCGAACACTTCCACTTCTAATTCGCACGTTTTCACCGTACCCAAGCCGCCGGGTCCGCGAAAAGGCCCACGAAGGCAGCTCCACGTTGAATTTGCTAGCAGCAGTAAGGCCGGCACATCGAATGGTACGAGCACCGGTGGCGTGACACATGGTGTGACACCAACCGCGACTTCAGCGAGTGGTTTAAGTGATATTTCATCCAGAAGGACACAAAGCAGGTTTGTTTGTAGTCTTCTTGCTATCGGCAAGGTTAGGTTAAAAGATTAAAGGTTTGTTCATATTGGAAAGTGCACTTAGCTTATCCAGCTAGTTTACAGACACTCAACTCAAATAATTAGCAACAAATAGTCCAAACAGGGCATAACAGGATTAAAAACCCCAACTGGCAGGAGGCAACCAGTTGGCTATTTACAAGCGTGGCCAAGGATTTGAACTCGGGACGACCGAGGACAAGTCCAGCAAGTGGTCAGAGCGGAACTCGTACCCAGGACCGCCGGATTGCGAGTACAACGTTCTGATCGCTTGGCCACGCTGCCTGCCTCTAAACATTGTACATCAAAATTGGTGACAAAAGGCAAGGTGCTACAATAGCTCTGCTAAAAGACAAACGAAAGCTCATGAATAAGAAATTTTTCCTTTTCTCGGACTTCTTGTTTAAACGGTCTTATTGTATTCTAGAAACCTTGCCTTAAGGAATTGCAATCGTAAATTTAATGCGTGTTTTTAAATGTCATTCTTTTTATGGCTGATTTTTAGTTCCTCGGTTGAGATGCAAAGACGTCAAGCTGGCGGCCAACTTAAAGCAAGACCACGTACGTTTAGTTTCTCTTCTAAACAATTTAACACGTTGTTAGCTAGCTTCAGGGATTAGCCAGACAAAAACACGCGGTGAAGCGTCATGCTTTTACCACCACACTCCTGCTATCCAGTGTCTTGGGAGGGGTAGAGAAGTACAATCTTTTCTTCTATCCCAATAGTAGCCTAGTTGATCCAGTGGTTATGCTCCTTTAGAATTAGGTGCAAAGGTTTCTTAATTCTCTTGAGTAATAATATGGTTTTATTTTCAGCCACTGCTGCCGCCACTCTGAGTATATCTCCTCGTAAAGTTCGTCAAATAATCGATCCCATCTCACAGATCCTCAATCAACTTCATAAAATTATCTTTATAACGCAGGTATGTCCACTTCATTTATTGAACGAGTTGAGAACAGATAACCGCAAAGCAAAAATGAAAAGCGATTCAACAATAAAACGTCCGGAAAAAAATCTGATTTCAACCGTTTTACTGGTCATCAGATGGTATTACGTTTGAGACTGGCAATGTTTCTTCTACACTTTTTCTTCAACACTTTCAAAGGAAAAGCATCGCAGAAATATTCTACTTAGTCAGTACTGAGTAGATTTCAACAAAGTTTATACTCGTTAGAACTTTGTCCACATTAAAACGATTTCTAACGAAACTATATATTTAAAAATAATAAATAAATTAATTAATTGATTAAAGTAATAATGTAACTCTTTGTATTATAGTGTGGCAGCGCTGCCCTAGTTACATTCTTGAACAAAATAGGCGGAATATTAGTGGAATAGAATAGAATAATTTATTTAATGTCGAAGACGTGGGAAGTGTTTGCACAATCCTTCTTCCCCCTCCCTCCTCCCCTTGATCAGGGATGGGAAAAGGGTGCGTTTTGGCCTTCGCGGGGTTGATCTTTGTGTTTTTCGAGAAGGGGGTTTGCTTCAGTCCATTTCATTCCGTCCAAGATTGTATAGTTTACAGGCACTTAACGCAATTTACGCAAGCAAGCAAGCAAGTTTAATAACTCGTGAATAACAGCAAGACAACTAAACGTAACAGGGTTAAAAACCGCAACTGGCAAGAAGCAAGCCTTTGGCTGTTACAAGCATGACCGAGGGGTTGAACTCGGGCTTCTGTGGAAAATTCGAACCCGGACATTGCCGGATTGTCATTACGTCCCGTGTGTGTTTTTTTTAATTTTAAACGCTTCGAATTGTTGTTATTTTCGTCTCTTACAGTTACCTCCAACATTATCACCGAATCCTCAGAGAAGAATCGTCGAACAGTTCAAAAGAGCGTTATTTTCTCCTCAAAACAGCTATTTTGTCAATCTCAAAAGCGAAGTAAAAAAGGTAAGCCTGTTTTTGATACCAGCAAATGCTTTGCAAAGTTCGGGCGACAAAAAGGTTATTTTACTGATAACTGACTGAGTGGCAACTACTTTTCTATTTGTGCTTTTTAAGATCAAGTTGTGACGAACTTCTGATTTCTACTAAATACAATCTCACTGCTTAATCGAACTCAAAAATCGCGAAAATAAATGAAAGTGATCACCCAAAAGAATGATGTGATTTTTGAAACAAATTCTCCTTACTCCATTTTGTAATAACACGTGTTGATATTGGGGCTAACTTGAAGGTTAAGTTGCTCGAATTTATGATTTGATGAAGAAGTGCGCGAAATTAATTGGACACGTGTCATGATTACAGGTGATCGAGGGCTCACAAGAAGTAATCGATCTCAAGTTTGGTTTTGGTGATCCCTTGTTCCTGCATCATCTAGAGGACACAGCTGACAAACTAGGTAAGACAAGGGAGGGGTGGGAGGGAGGAAACCTTTTTTCTAGCCCGCGAGCAATCTGTCCATTTTACCATTTTAAGGGGCTAGCCAAGCGAAGTGCGCGCGAGATCTCCCAATAGAAAGCTAACTCGTAGACTAAGTTTTTCCCAACTTCTTCAAGGTAACTGTTGAATCCATCATTGTATTTAAAATTGATGCACCGACATCCCACCCCCCTCCCTGACTTGAGATTGCTTATTGTCGTGTCACTAAACCTGAGTTGTCGACATGGTTTGTTTGAACCTGAAATTGTAATGGTTAGCAACGTGTTTCGAAGAAATGAATAGACCTTGTCACGGTTTTCGACGCCATCTTGACGAGTAGGCAAACGTGTGAGAAATTACAGAACTTGTATGAAAATATATTGTCGAATAATTTCGGTAAAACGGCCGTTCTGAAAAAAGTTTTAATTGTAAACTAAAGCTACAAAGCAAAGGATTGACCTAAAAAAATTTGGGGGCGTACCTGTGCTAAATTTCTCCAGAGGCTTGCTTTAGATTTTCCATATATTTGTCTGTAATTTTCCGGGGACTTTCTTATACACAAATGTATAGGAAATTTAAAAAGTGGTTCTAGGTCTTCTGGTGCATGTAACGCCCTCAAATTTTTTCAGTAGAGTCCTTAGGAATGAAGCTTTAGGTTACAAGTCATATTTTTTTCAGAACAGCCATTTTACGAAAATTATTCGAAATTAGATTCTCAAACAAACACTGTAATTTCGCACGCGTTTGCCTACTCGAGAGATGATGGCGTCGAAAACCGTGACAAGGTCTATGTTTGCATTCAACTTATGTCTGCGTCAAAGATTGTAATACTCAGCAATGTCTGCATACGTGAGTTGCTGTACTCAACATCTTGTATTTAAACCTGAATTGTGATAGTCAGCAACATGTATGGGCACCCGAAATGTTAATTTCGACTCCTGAAATCGCAGGGCGCAAATCAAAAGTAGTAAGACAAAGTATTCACTTGAAAGCGAATGGAAGAACGCTGAAATTTTGTGCAATCATGTTGCACAATGCACGCGTGTTGACCCTAACCTTTTGCTGTTTCGCTTAAACAGTGAATGGGGTAAATCTTGAAACTGCGGATGCACAGGAAATCGGAATAACGTACGAAATGATGCAGGTAAGGAAGTGCTTGATATATTAACAGATCGTAACTGTAATTTCTACCAACATATCAGCGGCACCCAACGACGGTTTCCTCCTAAATACGTTAAAAACTTTTTAAAGGCTATCCAGAGTACTTTTAGATCTCTCTTTTACAAGGGATTCAGTATTTTATTCCCGAAGATTTTAGATGCAATATAATGTATTACGAAAGTGAGAATTTTACTGATTCCTTTCTCCATCACATTTCAGAATCTGAAAATTTTAGGTGTCCATTTTTGTACGAAAAATTGCCTCGTCCGCGCGGTGAAATGTGAAAAATTAAACTTCAGAAAATCGTAGAGAATTTATTAGGTAAGCATGGACAATTCAGGGGAACGCTCATCTAGACATTTTTCGCCGTTCTCAAGTTATAGAAAATTCTAGGCAATAACTGAAAAGAACTGTAAAAGAACTCTAACGAAATACTTGTTCAGCACTAATATTCAACTCGCTATAACGTGACCACCTCCCTAAGATGGACACTTTGAGTGTCCCAGTGGCTTCCTTTCACGTAGCTTCAGATCCCTTGAAGTTTTGTTTTGAGAAAACTGATATTGACCGATGATCAACCTTGCTTCTAATTTTGCAGAATATAATTGAAAATGTTCTTATGGAAAGTGGTTATTATGATATGTCACCATGTGCCAGGTGAGAGCAAGCATATTCTATCTTACTTTTACTACTGTTATAGACAGCAGGTAGTTTTCTCGTCCGTTTGGTAAGTGCTTAGTGCCGACACCGGTTATTTATAACGTACTTTTTCTTTACATGGATCATTACGTTCTTCAGTGAAAGCTAACTGTTTTTAAACAGAGCTTTGCACTAATCACCCTGCTTCGTTGCTAAACCCTATATCCTCAACTCGTTTTTCTCACTGTCTCTATAAATTTGCCGAATAAATGGAGACTTTGAGTAATAATCACGACGTGTCCAGAATTCATACTAGTCACTATCGTTCTTCCATTAGATAACCCCCTAGGGTCAATACTTCGCCGATTTCATCCGCCATTGATATGATGGAAAGCCATTCTGCTCCGATTAGCGGGGAGTTTATTGTGCGCAAAAGATAACTCTTTAGATACCCTAAATATCTAAGCACTCTGTGCCTGAGGCCTTACGTGGGAGAATGACGCAACCTGATGTCCTGCCTTGTACCGGCTTTGTTGGTGGTAGACATTGGTCTGCCATGACTGGCACAGAGTGGCTGCAGGTTTAACTAAGCGCGCATGCGCAGTAGTAAGAAATTTCTCATTTTTCACCTTATACCATAAGTGTGGAAGGCTGAATTTCATCAGTCTGACGGCTGAAATTCAGGTTACAAAGTTTGCACCTGGTTAATTTTTTAAATTCCTTTCTTTCAGGAACCGGACTGTTCCTCTGGGTCCTATCGGTACGGTGCCGGTATCTGGTGTAAATTTAGGTCCCTCCAAGAGGGGTACTACGTCGTAGTCGATTCGTTTTAAGCAACTAACATGGCCCCAAAAAATTAAACATTTCTTCCTCGATTTCTGCATTTCAAGAACCGCACACATCACTGTTGTTTTTGCTTTGTTTGTTTTTAGTCTAAACAACGGCTGAAAAGAGTGGAAAATTTTGTTTGTTAACAAAGACACCAACTGGATGTGTGGGTTGATAAAAAAGTCTTGTGTACGAAATTGGCTACCCAAAAAATTGTGTGAATGCGAGAAAGGTTTTTGTAACAGGATTTTAATATGTTGATGCCATTTTAGCTGGAAAACGGATTGTATTAGTTGTAAAATTTTGTACATAAAAGGAAAACTAAGTTATTTTTATAGAAGAGGTGTATTTAAAAGCAATAGTTGTAATGTAACTTTTTATCTTGTATATTTTGTTCTCCCATTTTAGTTCACGTGATGAACGCCTAGTGAACTGTTTCTTTC